GTTTTAGACCGTGTAGTCTTGTCTCCTAATAGGACTGGTAATTTTTGCTTGAATGCCAGACATTGTTTATTAAAAACGGTAGCGATCCTCTCTCTGTGCCTTTGTAGGGTGTTATCTGCCTCCAGACATGGTTTACTTTTGCTTCTGGGAAGTAGTCAGAGTAAAGACAGATCGCTTACTTTAACCACGGATTAAGCTGGCTTGAAGCTAGGTTTTGGTCCATTGAAGGCTGGTCTGTTTCTGATCCTTGCTTATTCTTAGCGTGTAGTCTTTGGGGGGTCCCACCTCTCTCCTCCTTGTGGGTCCTGGTTGCTAATTCTTGTTTTCCCTGTCCCAGAATACTGCCCAAAGCTATACTCAGTCAAAGGCTATTCTTGGTCTTTTTCTGCTCTGCTTCTCAGTCCCCCAGGCACTTTGTTCCCATCAACTACTTGCTTGTGAAGGGAAAAAACCCACCCTGCACTTATGGCTTCCTTGCGTCTCTGGGGTTCACATCCTTCCGGAAGCCTGGCCCCTCAAACCCTGGCTGCATGCAGATGCCTTCAACTTGAGGAACTCTTTGTTTGCTTGTCTCCAATTTTACTCAGCTTCTCTAGTTGGAAGAGTAAATTTCCATTAAAGGAGCCTGGCATTGTTAGAAGGAGATAGCTCTCTTGTGTTTTGTTTGTTTGTTTGTTTTTTGGTTTTTGTTTTGTTTTGTTTTGTTTTGTTTCGCTCTCTTGTGTTTTTAAAGCCCACATTTTAGTAGGAGTCTCCCTCCGCTATGGACCTCAGCTGGCTAACTGACGGGATGGCTGGCGTCTCCATGACGGCTCCTCTTGGTGGCAGTCAGGCAAGGGAAGTTTCTGGGGTCTTTTTCGTTTTGTGTTTCTGTTCTTTTTGCCCTTCAAAGGTGGATGTGGATGACTCTATTCTGTGGCCCTCAGGCCTGTCTTTAATTGTTTTTGGTGAAACATTCTTCTAAGTCCTATAGCCTTGGTCTGTCCAGTTGCTGTATAGAGGTAACTCGTGGTTGCTGTGATGCTAAACACTGTGACACTGATGTGTCAAATGCAAGAATAGTTACCCATGGTGGACAGTGTTCGGTAGAGTTCCCCGATTCAAACAAGTGTGGAAGCAGGAGTGGCATCCACTTCTGTAATAGCTTCCCCCTGGAAACCCTATGAACCTGGAAAAAGGACAAAAGTTACACAAATGTTCAGGTCTTTTGTTCATAGATCGCTGAATCGCCTATGACTCAAAGGCACTTAACAATAACAATAACATTTTAGCAAGCCTCTCAATTACTAATTCTGCACTGTAATCACTGTGGTTTTCCCTGATCCTGGAGCCCTAGACATTCCCTGACTTTGGGTCATCAGCTGGATTGAGGCTCTTTTAAAATTCTTGCCCAGATATTCCTGGGGTTCTCATATCTGCTCTCATCAGGGGTCAGGGCAATCCAAGTAGCGTTCTTTCGTCTGTCCTGGGTATATGGTAGGAGAAAAGAAATTAAAACCTGGAGCAGAGAAGAAGAGGGGTTTTTTTTTCACCTCCACAAATCCTTCTCTGAGTTTCTATGTACTTGTCTGTATATGTGTGTATAACATAAGGGGGTGGGGTATGTGAGAGAGAGAATGTGCTTGTGATCAGATGGCTGGTTTTGTGTTTGTGTGTGTGCTATTGTCTACATGAGCCTGAGAACGCTTTGAATATTGGTGTACACAATGTCCATCCATTGTCATGTCTGTCTCTGAATGAAAGACAGAAGGCCACCCGCTTAAAATGCGGCAGAGGGGCCACAGGGAGGTGTGCACAGGACCACCAGCGCCTGCAGGGAGGTCATAAGGCGGCCAAGGACAGACTTCAAGGACCAGGTAAGAGAAAGGGAGACAAGCTAAGTCAGCGAGGAGGCTCCAGAAGGAACAGGCAGAGGCAGGAGTTGCAGGCCACAGGGTGGGAAGAGCAGGTCTCAAGATGCACGTGGCCAACGGCGCCCTCTAGTGAGCTGTCCTGGGGAGAGCCAGGAGAGTGAGGGGGTAGAAACGGGGCTGCAGGGCTGCGGGGAGCTGGGGAGCCGAGTGAGGAGAAGAGAGAAAGAGAGGCGTGTGCAATCTCCGTCGGACCATGACTGTAACAATAGAAGGATAACTAGTACAACATGTACTGGGGATCCAAGGGCGGAAGGTGTGGGAGCAGAGGGGTGAGGATGGGCAGGGGTGAAACCACAGGGTTGCACAATTTTGTGGGTGGAGGGAGGGGGTGAAGGAAACAGGAAAGATTCAGCGGGGACCTGAAAAGACAGGGTAATGATGGGCATAGTCCAACGGTGATTAATTATATAAAACGTAACGGATGGGAATGATGGTATGAAACATAATGTGACTGAAGGGCAGTATCAAGGGCAATGTATACCGCTCACTTTGTAAGCAAACCAATTGCTGTTGTTGTTATGTGCCATCGAGCCCGTTATGACTCATAACAACCCTCTGTACAAGAGCCCTAAATGCTGCTCTGTCCTGTGCCAACCTCACCATATCCAACACACTCACTCCCACCACCCCAATCACAGAATTGATCCATCTCATCGAGTGTCTTTCTCTCCTGCGCCATCCTTCCACTCTCCCAAATATGATGTCCCTCTCCAAGGACCAGTCCCTCCTTGCAACATGCCCAAAGTATGTCAGACGAAGCTTCAGAATCCTTGCCTCCAAGGAGCATTCTGGTTTCACCTTCTCTAGGCCAAACCTGCTTGTTCTCCTAGAGTCCATGGTATAGTCAACACTCTTCTCCAGCACCACAGCTCAAAGGCATTAATTCCCTATCATTCCTAATTTCTGTCCAACTCTCTGAAGCAAGCCAATATAAAATAAAAAAAAAATTAAAAATAAAAAAAGAACTGCAGGAAGAGGAGGGTTATCAAGTTATGTAAGGATGAATTTTTTAAATCTCCATATGTTCTATGTATGTTGTTGTTAAGTGCCGTCAAGTCCTTTGCGACTCATAGCGACCCTATGTATAACAGCCCTAAACCATGCTCTATCCTGTGCCAATTTCATTGCCTCTGACACACCCATCCCGAT